ATTGCAAACATCCACATGGTAGAACCTTTCTCCTTTGCGAGAGAACTCGCAAATTGATCGGTAGAAGGGAAATTCCCAACGAAATTTTTGTCTTTCATTTAGAATTGTTCGTTGGCTACAACTGTTTACGTTACATACAAATATTGATATTTTGGCGTTTATACTAAAATTGTATTCAACGATACGTAGAACGCATATACAGAAACATTCAGAATGTCGAGAGTACTCTTCGCGATATTTCAATGACAAGACAAATCTCCTTTTGGATTCTATCTTTTTAATTCTTTCAATGTCGTTTCATGATTCAACGACACTGTATCTGAGTAACAACGTACATTAAAAAAAAGAACGCGGTCGTCACGATTAAACGCACCATTGTCGTCTTGAAAATCTGCAAACCTTTAGAAAAAAAGGACTAAGGAACGTGATGAAATTTCACTAGCAAACTATAATCTCCGCTGGAAATCTCCACTGGCACGATTTAAGCAACGCTCGGTTATTTTTTATCCGATAAGAGGTCGTTCCAGATAACACATTTGTATAATAGTAGGGAAAAGCAAAATGGAGAGGAAATAAAGATGAAAAAAGACAAAGGAATGGTGACGTGCGGGTACCGTGGTGTATGTAACACGTTACATACCGGTGATACGGCTGGTAATCGCGAGTTTCTTTCAAAAACCCTAAGGTTAATCGGCGAGCATCCGTGTCGAAGCCGACATTCAGCGTATTGTTGGCCACGATGTCCTTGTTTGCGATTTAGCCGGCTGTGGTCACGCGTCTGTTTTCGCGCTTTTCAATTTCTCATCCGTCCGGGTCTTCGACTACTACGTACCGCTACCAACCAAAAATTTGCCAATTGTATGGTAAAAAGATTCGTTTAGACTACTCTGGACCAAGCGAGCGAATACTCGTTCCTTCCTTTATTTAGTAAAATTAATCGATTTGCTTTGCAGACAATTTTTCGCCGAATTGGAAATCGAACGAATACCGCAAAAATGCCTGTTCGACTATAATTTTTTCAACAGACATCGTTGTCACAAGCCCGAGTCAAGACTAAATTGGAAATATGCACGTAACTGATGAGTATTCTTTGATACTCGGTCTAATCTCTACGAAGGATCGCACGCGTTCGTCCTGAATAGGCCACGCATTTTTATGGCATTTCGTATCTTTATTAAAATAATTTTAATTAATTTACTGCCGTTAAATTTTAGGACAAGTGTATACTTCACTGTTTAAATGTTTTTTTTTATATTTTGTACATTAAACGCACTTTGGACATTTTCCTTTTTTCAAATTTCCCAGAAATGCATATCAATCTGTCGTCTTCGTCACCAAGTTTATACACCGTTACCTTTATTCTGCGTCACTCTGTATAATCGCACCTTAAACAGTAATATTATAGGAATTATCCACTGTCCGAAGAATCGCTTATCGCATTCCTTCACGTAGGTCAGCTTGATCGAATCGAGTTATCGAGTCGATGACAAATAAAATTGAACGTTACATAGGAAAAAAAAATACTCGCATGCATGCGCGTAAAGGTCGATACATAATTTGCCTCCCATACGCTCTTCCTATTTCTTTCTCTTTTACTCTTTCTTTTCCTAAACAGTTGATCTTATGGTTTCGATTGAACATGACACAGGGAGTCGCGCGAAAGTAGCTAGCAGAGAAAAGTTACACAGTAAAAGTACTCTTATACGTAAAATACAAATATTAACATACGACCGACGAGATCGAAAGTTTCGCAGTGCATACTAATTTCAGAGAGTGTTTAACGTATTTTCCTTTCACGATTGCTACTATTAGGTTGTCCGAAAAGTGTCTTTCTTTTACAGATCCGTCTTTCACAACGATGCATCTTTATACAAACATTTTTTTTTTTTTTATTTTATTTGTTGAAATTACAATCAATTCTCGCGTTGAGAATTTTCAGTAATTTTTCTGGCGTGGCGCAGTGACATGGCTGTTTATTTACAATAAGTTATACTTATTATAGATAGGTATAATTTATTAGTGTTATAGGTAAGTGCATATGCTTAATTTGGATAATTAAGTGAATCTAACGTTTAGGTCTAGCGGGTAGTGCCTCTTCAGCCTGCGAATCTGGTCCGTCGTATCGAGTAGTCCAGTGATTAGGGGGTTTCGGTGTTTGTTGACTCTTTTGCTATATCTGTCGCTATATTTCGCTATTTCCTCTTTGACTGTTGGTATCTTGAGGTTTATACAAACATGAAATCTAATCTGTCCAACCTTATGATTTTTATTTTGATAGAACAAAATGGATCGTACGTAATTTGATAAAATAATATGTTGAAGTGGTTACCACTTCTAAGAAAACTCTACATCTGGTCTTTTTAGTTTTCTCAAGCACTGAAGCCATCGACAGACAAAAGACCGCGACGAAGTCAGACCATGAACGGTAAGACAGGCGACGTTGGCTTCGGGGTTTTCAGTTATTGAGTAACACAGCTAGCGTCACGACCGGCATACTTCAAATCCGATGAACTGACGATGGAGATAAAGATGTGACGGCACTCGGCAACAATGTATATCGCTGAAGTGCCTAATGAACTATCAACATCCCAACGGTCCTTCCACCGAAGGTTCTGAAGAAAGAGCACGTGGCAACGGTCGCGGACGCCTAGCAAATGCATGGACGGTGAGGATGTTAAGGGATGACAAAAGAAAGTAATCGGATCCGATCGAAAGTCAAATCATAAGAGTGTCGGTCTTAGAAAGTCACGCCTAGAGTTCGGAAGTGGATTGTAAAGTGGATTGTTGTTAGAAAAAAAATAAAGTTTTCTTTTTTTTATTTTTTACCTCAAATTTCTTTTTTTTTATTTTGTTATTTTACGTGACACTAGCGTGCGGATCTGGATCAACTCAAATTGTATTCTTACTTATAATTACACTTCTATTTAAATATATTTTCTGCCTTACACTTTATTCACGAGTTTTCTCTGTTTACACATCGAATAACCTCAACATAATATAAAACGGAAGAAACTTTTCGGATGACCTAATGTTTCAAATCGACCTTGAAAGCGCTTTCGACATATCGTAGATGCATACGATATACAGGGTGGTTGATAACTGGTGGTACAGGCGGAAAAAGAAGACGAAAATATAGAATAAAAATTTTTCTTTTTAATTTTTCCATCGAGACAGCGATCTACAGTGAGATCCGTTATAACGAGACGCGACAAAGTGCACGCTTACCGAGCGAAAATTCAAAGTCGATTTTCTCGAAAACAAAGGCTCAACCAAAAAATTTTTATTCTATATTTCCGACCTCTTTTTTCGCGTAGAACCACCCTCTTTCCGCTTGTTACCACCCACCCTGTATTTCATCCATTATTCAAGTCCGAGAGAAATCGAATAACGTTAATATATATATATTTCTTGATTTACGTTCCTTGATTTACGATCAAACATTCCGCAGTTTAAGATAATAGTCGGTGTTTATGGCAATAAACTTAAGTTCCTTAAGCCATCGCACTTTGTTGAAACAGGTCACTAAAACTGAAATCTGCAGTTGCTAATCTCCAAGTACGTGTATAACACACTGCAAATCCCAGCGCAGGCAGGACGCTAATCCAACTGTATCCTCTCACCGACAGATTACGACATCGGGTAGATCCACTTCCTGCGAATGAAATAAGAACAAAATCCCTTTCTACGTCAACCGCGCGATTCAACAACGTCTCGATCATAAATCGCGCGAAATCGATCGAAGTCTGCCAGTGTCTGGTGGGCTTGTGCCACCCTCTGGGCAAAGTCAGCGCAAATTGATCCCGATCATTGACGCCAAATGAAATCGGAGAGACGCCGCGCGTCGCGTCTCGTCGTCCGTGACAGGCTAATGACATGCTGGTTATCACGAACACGACCTGTTTACGTGTGTGCCTAGGGTGCACGCACACGAACACGATTGTACCAGCCACCCACACGAAGCGCGTATAATACGGGCGCCGGGTATCTGCGATGTCTCCATCGACCAACCAATTCTCATTGATTGTTCGTCGTGTGACATTGATCCGTAGACAGAAATCACATGTGCACGCAGAGCTCGTGTTATTTCCGTACGGAACAATTTCAATTATTTCACCGTTGTTCCTCGTTTCATTAACTTTAACTATCGTGATACGTCGAAGCTTGAATTTGCATCTACATTGGCTTCGGTTTGCCTCGTCAAAGCTTAACCCGCGTTCTTTCGCACGCGACGAGTTTCGCTTTGCGTTGATCTCATTCGATTCGATCAGATTTGATTCGTGACATTTTGCTTGGAACAGCGACCAACTCGATCAACGAAGTTCGAACAACGTGTTTGGCAAAATGTAAACAGAAACTGAAATAGTTTACGAAGATTGCTCGTAGTTGGATGAACGTTAGGTAAGCCGAGAACTTTCCATTAATTATACAAGTGGAAGCATCGAAGTGTAAATTTGGAATTAAGTTGTCCGAATAATTATGCAATACTAATGGATGGTAACGATATAATGGACGGTAGTACGTCGTTTGTACTTTGTTTTACTTGTTTATTGAAAATAGCGATCGATCGAGATAAGAATGAATTACGGGCAACGTTTTTTTTTTTTTGTTGCGTCAAGGTCTCGCGTTATTTATTTCAACAATGAAACGCGAATAGTATGAAGAACGCAACAATCAGAGGGAATTTCTAATTTCTGCGTGTTGTTACGAAATAATCTAAGTTTGTGTTTTCATTGAAATCATAATTATACGAAAGCAGAGGAGTTTCGCAGATAAAAAACAATCGTGCAGCGCGCTGGTATAATTATTTAAAAGCAGTTTATCTGCATGAATCTTAAAGATAATTCGCCCAGAATTCTCTTCATATAGAGACTACTATCTTTTTATCAACAAACTGGTTGGTAGCGAAATAACGTAACGTCGCGATGGTAATCGCACCGCTGCGAGTTTTCATTGAATACAATTGAATTCAGGCAAATTGGAGCATAAAAGACACGGATTAATGCTCGTCCGTATATACGTTTCTTCGAAAAATAGACAAGTTTGAGGAAACCGTATTACGGACTATGCTTCCCGTACAACGATCTTAACAATTTTACGTCTTTATAAATCACCAAGTAAATTCGCTTTGTCTACAAACTGTTTGGCCCATGGGAATCGAAAATTTGTCGCAGGTGCATCGTCAAACGCGTACCTGCAAAACCACTGTCATTCTCTTCCTTGCCGCAATTTGACTCCGTTTCGCAAATACAATACCGCAATGTCGAATTTATCTTATGAAAATTCCACGGATAAATAGGAAAGGAACCTACCTTGGTTACCAACAAAGTTCTATCGTTTCATTTTCTAAGGCAAAACATTTCTTTTAATACTTCACTAAAATATGCTAGCCTGTAACATCGACGAAGTAATATTCATCCCATTTTTCAAACGTCTAAAACGTTTACTTGAATCATGAAACAAGCTGTTCATTTACAGAGAAACTTACTATAACGGTGCATAATAAATCCAAGTCGCCAAGAACGTGCCCATCGAAAGGATTCAAAGTCCAAAGATACCAACGTGTACGTGCAACTAAAAATACAAAATGTAAGAAGAAATTGGTTAATCTATTAATTACTGTGAAGAATAAAAGCTAGGAATATTTACATTTAATACATCGAATTATTAACAAATTGAAAATAAATTATACATGAAAGGTAACATTTATTTCTTACCCATCTAAAATTCTAACGAAAGCACGGTCCTAGCTTGAAGATCACGCACCGTAAAACCTCGAAACAACGAAACATTGAACCCAGGTGGAAAGCTTCCACTCGGTCAGAAACTTCGATGATCGCTGTAATTCGACGGGTAATAGAGTCCCTTCGTCTCTGGCCGCTTCCAGTTCTTCACAGCGTCCGACCAATTTCCCCATTACCTTCGTTCGATACCGCGGTGAATTCGTGGAAATTGGCCGGCGTTCGTTTGCACACGAGCCGAATCACGGTGCGGTTACAGTTCGATCGCTTCTTCGACCGCGTAATCGATTGAAAATTGAGGCAACAACCGTGCAGGGAAAATACCCACGGGAGCTGTATACTTCCCGGTTCAGCGAGGAGCGACGTTACGTCGTCGATTTTCAGACAACGCGTACGACGAGACGGGGAAATTGTTGCCTGGCAACCGATTGACCTAGATCGGTTGCTCTATCGTAGCTGGAGTTGCTCAGGGCGTCTGATTGTCGCGGCAGGGTGCAGGGTTGAAGGCTGAATGGGATTGAGGTGCGTTGAAGAGGAAACTAGAGAAACTGGTAAACTGCTCTTGGCAGCCCATGCTTGTAATAGTTGTACTACCATGAAATTATGGTGGATATTAAACTTTTGATGTATAATCGTTATTTCGCCTCTTTTTCTTTCTATTTGTTCGAAGCTTTCGAATTGAGAAAATGAATTAGCGTTGGGCTTGCCAGGCCAGGTCGAGAGACCGGTTTTAAAATTTAGTTTAATATTGTACGTTTATTGTTGCTTCTTTTGTTCGTCTAACTTTATGTAAATTTTTATATTAACAAAAATTGAGAAATCGATTAATCAGGTAATATAAGGATTCACACGAAGTTGGATGAACAAAAGAAATAACGATGAACGCAACGCACAATTTTTAATGAAATTTTCAAAGCGGTCGTTTGACCGAGGCTGGCAAGGTTGGCGTTAATTTATCGTTTCGAATACGTATCAATTTTTTGAATAATAATTTCTACAATTAGAGATCTATTATTTATTTATTTATTTTGGTAAAAGTAGACATTTTCTTAGAGTAGCGATTTTCAGGATTTAGCTTAGATACGATTCATTCGTGTAGAGATTTTCTATGTTTTTCGTTTTGTTAGAAATAAAGGTGTTTTGACAAAATAATTAAATTTCAAGGGGTTGTTCCAGGGATGATCGAAATTTTTATTTTGTTAGAAATAAATTATATTATACTTCATATTTGTAAGGGATAAGATCGAGCTGGATGAAATTGATTTACCCTTATTAATTTTTAATTTCATAATTATAGAAGCTTCTGTTTGAAAGAAGAAGTGGCGTAACTTTTACCATTCTATTGATGTATTTTCAATGGAAATGTGCGTAATATAAGTTTCGGAGTAATAAGTTTATCTGCTGAAAATTGCAAAATATTAACCCTTCATCGCCGTGTAAAATCGAGTGCTTCTTAATATCATCGCGTTCCAATATAAAATAATAACATTATTTTTACCAAAAAAAAAAAATGGTAGTATAGTATAGTGGTTCTATCGCGTCATTAGGTTCTCAGATACATAATGAAGCTGACTGTAACGTTAGTAATACAATAGCGTAATATCCATTCATCTTTGGTGTTCTGATTAAACTACCACCAACATCGATAATATTAGCATTGCATTACCACTATCGATCTTATCTACATTTCCACCATCGATTCAACTCGACAAAATTACTCCGATATTATAATATAATTTATAGCATTATGACATGTGTTAAATTATGATATAATTGATAGGGTTCTTAATTTATTCGTTGTTCCTCTTTTCAAACGTAAAATTCGCTGTATTATATCTATTTGTTAAATTATCGGAACAATTAGAGGTCACACACGTGTTTTGCGAATTACAGATGCACAAATTGTTTGACACCTTTGTTGTCTTTTTAAATTAAAGTAATCGGCGTAACATATTACGCGTTAATCATTGAAAATTGACAATTTATATCGTTATTTACTTATTATATGTACTTTCACAACGATGAAACACGTTAAATTTCAAAATCAAATATTGAAATTCTACGATACTGCTCACTTCGTGTAATTGCAGAACTTGTTAATTTCTCATTTTTTATCCGAAACTGTTAAGAAATCGCGAAAGAAAAATTCTATACTTCAGACGTGAAACGATGTGTTTGTATCGTACCAGATTATCTAATCGATCGCTTTAAACGATACTTTATTGCATTCTTTAAGATCAATTAATCGTAAAATTGGACAATTTGTTCCAACACGCAAGCTGGTTACAGCGGAAGAAAAGTTCGTATCAATCTGAAAAACACGAAACAAGTTTTCGACGCGTTTTTGCGAAATTCAAAAATTGTTCAATTTTTACCAGAAAATAAACAAGCAACGACAATACGGAATTGGATGCTTCGAACATGAAACGATGTTTCCTTGGCACTTTAAATTGCATATCTGGTCTAGCACTTTATAAACAACTGTACGCACAACATATCTTCACAATTATAAAGTTGTCTAATTTATACGTAAAGTTCAATCTGAAAAACAATCTTAAGTAAATGAGAAATAACAAAGAGAATATCACGGACAAGTAGCGATAATTTAGTGTCGCATAAAATTATCTGGACTAACCATTTATCTAGCCTGATAAGACAACCACGTCAAAGTAATATATATTACATCGATAACACAGTTAAACAAAAGGATCATGACATCGATGGTTTAAAGAAAAACCGAATGAATTTATCAAAATCGAAAATACAGTCATTAATTTTCACAAAACACTTTGTTTATGCCGGAAACTCGTCATTGAAAGAAACGACATTAGACTTGTTATTTCTTAGAAAAATGGACATTATTTCTTAGGAAAATGACAATGTTCGAATTTCTTAGGAAAATGTTTAACAGTTAAAATAGAAATATTTCGCATAATCAGGAAAATTTGATTCCAAGAGAATCAAGTTACGCGAAGAATGTTATAATCGTAATTAAATGTTTCTGGGAGGAAAGATTTATGAAAATTAATTGAGAAACAAAAACGAGTAAGAAATTATTCCCACAGTTCGGAAAATTCGGTTCTGAAATAATTCAAGAATCGTAAACGATATAACAACGATAATTAAATTCTTTTGAAAGAGAAACAGAACATCTAACTAATTAATTATTCTTGTTTTTATGGAATAACTGGCCTTGTTAATGATTTATGTATCCATCGATTAATTCGAACCCGGTTTCGATGAATCGTCGGTAGTTTCAGTGTCAGTCATTGTCGTCAGTGGACATGACATTTACATATCACACGCACGGCTGTCATTGCGGCATTGTTATTACGTGAATGGGCGTTTATTGTCAATTTCTGGCTCGTCGGTTGACTGCAAGGTCCGCCGGTCATTGCCACTGAATGGGCCAACTGATTCAGACATATGCCACCGTATTATCCCCTTGATACCCGATTCCAATCGTTCCAACCGATTACGATCATTAGGAGCGATCATATCGAAGCCTTCAGATCCTCGTGAATGATTTTCACTGATTAGATCGACTTGATTTTCATGCAAATTTATCGTTTTATCATCTAAAGTAATGAAATTCACTTTGCATCTTCTACTATTACAGAGTTTCCATGTTTTTGTACTATGCACATTCTGTACATTTTTCTTATCGTTAGATCTTCGATTTAGAAAAATGAAAATAGGAGAATTTAGAAAATAATCGTTTCGTTTAAATTCATTTTTCCATACAAACAACTGTTTACTAAAATTTGAACCAACACTTTAATATTTCTTTGAAACTGTAAATCGAATAGAAATTTTCCAAGAGCAACTGTTGGATGGTTAAGCGAATGAGTAGTCGATTAGGAGGTACGTTTATAGCTTGTCTATGTTGATGAAACATTATACAAGATAGTTATGAGGCGTTTGAAACATTGTTAGTCAACGTATCGATAATGATTATCGGCGATACCTGTTTATACCTGTTTATAATTTCATGTACGGTTAACACGTGTAACGTACGTATGGATAACGCGATGTAGTTTCTTGGAAGCGCGTATGCTTAAAAAAAGGTCATTGCATACGATACACGAAGATAGCTCGGACTTATGCTTCTTTACAGTGATAATCAAGTACGTTCACTGTGTAGGACGGAAATGCGAGTTGGCGCAAACTTTCAGCTCATTTATGCTGTACAATGTTAACGATGTAAGAAGAATTTTTCACGAGAAATTTAGGTTTCGCTTCTATCGCGTATTTTTCCTTCGTTGCATCGCAACACTCGAATTCCATCAATTTCACTTTCTACGCGAGAAAAGATCTTCCACCGGGTTTGACGAACCAAGTTCTACTGTCATTCGTAATACGTAAACTGGCGCCAACGCGAATCAGCGCAGCATTTCGTCATAGACGATCTTCGCGTACACCGAAACCGTATTCGTACACGTCGAACGTTCGATTTGCGGCCGAAAATACCCGGTTTGCGACTCGTACACGCGTGCTCGGTGTATGCCGCACCGCGTGTACCTCGCCCTTGACATTATATCAAGATCGCATCATCCACGAGCAATCCGCTGGCCATTGGCTGGCTTGCCTTTTTCTGTCTACTTCGATATTACGTAGGTTTATCAAACTATGATATGTATCTAAATATTTTAATACATTGATGGTGAAAATTAAATTTCTGTGACAGAAATAAATACGCAGATAAGAATACGTATTATTACGAGATCGGATCTTTTCTCGTCTGACACGTCCCTTTATCGGCGATCTCGTTGTACAACGTGCTGTGCAATTCCGTACGGTATATGATATTTTCGGGATATTTACGTTCGAGTTACGAAGACGACCGATCGATGTTTCTATCCAATTCATCGTCCATATCAACGAACAGCGATGGTCTTCTTAATTCTTTGTCGAAATACACGTAGAGTTTGACGTTTCGCTTTATAGCTGACAAATACACGTAATCAACGAACACCGTCACAGTTCACGTACCAAAGATAGACTTCAGTTTCTCGAGTATCGTAGCGGGATGTTTAATTTTGTGAAAAACGTT